CCCCCAGCGCAGGTGGCTGGGGGGGGGAATTTGTGGGGTTTAGGAGTCCCCACACCTTAAAGTTGCCAAGTTTGAGGAACCCTGCCCTAAACAGAACAGTGTGTGTGTATGTGTGTGCAAGCGTGTGTGTGGTGGTGATGGTGTTGGTATTCATAGCCCTTGGCTCATTCGCTTTTTCGAGAAAGCCCCTGGAGGTATCTTCCCAACTGTCTTGAAGTGGGTCAGTTGAGAACAGGGTTGGCTACCAAGGATGGCAAAACGGGGCATTTGCTGGGGCAACAAAATCAACAGAAACCCCAAGAATATTAGCAATATTAGCAATTCCAGAAGTTATGCTTTCATCCTTTCAGCTTTCAGGCTCGTCTTGCCCAAGATGCTCCAAAACTTACAAGCCAGCACCTGTTTGGAGCACGGATGGGTTTCTCTAGTTCCTTGCTCAGAATGTCAGAAGAGATCATTCAGGCTAAGAATAGGAAAACCATCTGGACTGAACCTAGGGAGAAACGTGGAGAAGGTACGTTATGGGGCATCTCCTATAACCTTAGGTGGGCCATGTTCCTGGGGCAGCAGTCACTATCATTTCTAGTGCTGTGCCTTAATCTGCCTTGTGATGTCTGCAATGTTTTCTTCCCCTGGCAAAGAGGTTTCTGTTTTTCTACCTTATTCTTAGGGTGCTTGAGAATTTCTTGCACATTTCTTCTTTTAAGCTGATTTAACTCTTTGAGGCAGGAGACCAGGCTTTCAATGGCATGGAGGTGTTCTCTGTTGCATCTTCCCATCCCTCTGAAGCTTCCTTACCTACTCATCCCAATTGGGATGGGGAAAAAAAGCAAATTGCCTCGGAGCTGCACATAAGAAATAGGCAGAGCTTCCATCGCACCGCTGGGGCCACCATCTTGACTTTTCTGACCTTCCTTACAGGCCATCCTGTAAAGCAGAAGGGGGTTGTGCATGTGGATGGAGTATGGTTCTCCATTTCCACATTAACTTGCCACAAAATGCTCCTGCGGACCAAGAGGCATTTGTTATATGCTGCTTTGAAGACTGTTTATAATTTAATTTACCCCAAGGTAATGACGGTTCAATCTAAATATTTATGAAAAAGTCAGGGGGGATGGGGTGTCAGTTCCTCACTAATTCTATGGGGCAGCGACCCCTTGTCACTCTTCCCTCCTTCAAACATGTTTTCTTCAACTGGCCAAATGATCTGATTGTTCCCTCCAGACCCCCTTGCGAATTCCTTAGTGTGCAGTGGTGACAATGGAAGAAAAGCAAGCTGATGAACTGTGGGGGTCTTTTCCCAATGCAGCTGAGTTGGACCTTGAAACAATTCCATGCTTTTTTTTTTTTTAATTTTTAAGTTAGACCTGCGGGAAATGTTAGGGTCCGAACCTTGACTTGTCAGAGAGCCTAGAATGAGTGACAAGCAAGCTGGGAATATAATTCTTTCCCAAAAAAACAGGCTGGAACAGAGATGAAGCGTTAATGCTTTCTTGCTAGATTTAATGCAAATGCGTGCTTTTCTGTTCTTGGCATGGTCTGAAAAATAGGCCCTGTGTGTTTCTGCTGAAGTCAGTTTAAACAGGGAAAAGCCAGTTGTAAAGGAGGCCTATTAGCTAGCATGCACGGCTACACACACGGACACACACACACGGACACATAGAATTCCTGCCGCAGTTTGTGGATTTATAAAATATAATAATGAATGAGGGGTGTAAAATGAATACAAGTATTTATTTCTTCTAATTTCCACCCCACTTTTCTGCTCTGGTGAAGGCAGTAGTAATATTTACCAACCCAACCCAAAACTGAATATAAAAAAATTACAACTGTAGATTAAAATTAATACTAATGTAGGTACTAAAACCATTTAACAAAAGCATGGAGGAAGAGTTGAGTCTTCAAAGATTTTCTGAATGCCACATGCAAATCCTTGGGAGGACCTTCTGTAGCTTGCAAGGTGTTTTCACATGTGCCAGAATAATGGGTCAGACTACATTTTATTTTTTTTTTCTTTTTAAAAAAGAGCATTTGAATCCTCTCATAACCAAAGTAGTGGCTGGACTAGGATTGAGAAGACTCCCCACCGAACCTTGATATTCCCTGCACAATTTCATTGCACATTCGAATTCAGCAGGTGCCCTGGGGGAGGATGTGCCCCTGAGCATATGCAGAGTGCTAAAAAATAGCAAATAATTAAATAGCAGGAGGCTACTGAAAAGAAAAAAATGCTATAATAGAATTGTCTTGGTTGCACAGTATAGCTTAGCCTGGCTATTGATGAATATGAACAAAAGTTTGTGGTACTTGAAGAAGATGGTAGATTAATTAAGTAATACCCAAGAGAGGGACTCTTCACTTCTATCTCAAAGAATCATGGAAGGCACCTCAGGGGTCTTCCAGTCCAACCCCCTGCTCAATTCCTTCTTTGGATCTCTCTTTATAAATTTTCCACCCATAGGTTCTTGTCTTTCCTTGGGGCACTAAGGAGAATAAATCCACGGCTTCTTCTCTGGAACAGCCCCTTCAGGTATCAGAAGACCGTATCGTGTCTCCCTTCATTCGGCTAAACCTATCCAGTTCTTTTCATTCTTCTTGATAGGGTTCAGCCTCCAAGCCCGTCACCGTCTTTGTCTCTCTTCTCTGCTCAACTACATCTTGAAGAGAGAGAAACAAGAAGTTTCTTTTTGTTAGGTCCAGAGTCTCCTTTTATGAACAATAGACCAGATGGAAGACCCTACCCCTTATCTAACTGACCCATTTGCGAGAGTAGTCCAAAGGGCTTGTGGGTGCCAAGAGATGGTGCCATCTTCAACTACTTTGACCCACTCATGTTCTCTTGGTCTAATCCAGTGTTTCTCAACCTTGCTGGCTGGGGAATTCTGGGAGTTGAAGTCCACATGTCTTCAAGTTGGCAAGGTTGAGAAACAGTGGTCTAATCTAATCCACGCTATTTGTTGTGATGGGAAAATAGAGGCTTTGAAAGGAAGTTACACTGTCTTGGGAAAAAGATTGATAAAAATGTAGTAAAATAACAATAAGACACACAGTGTTTAAGAACATATAGATTCTGTTCTAAAGCCAGCGTTAAATAAGGAAGCCAGATTCTTGCAAAAACAGACTGTTATGACGGCAGTGATTGAATAGGGTTCTGCAGAATGATGGGATTGTAAAAAAAAAAAAGTGAAATGCAGTTTTAGGCTGCATCCACTGAAATATAATTTCCAAGCCTGGGGATAAGATCGTTCCACTCTGTTCTGTGTTGGCATTTCCCATTTTCAGTACATCGTCCAGTTCTGGGCTCCACATTTAAGCAAGATTCAGAGACATTGGAGGTGTTCAGAGAAAGACAAGAAGCTCCATCAAGAGACTGGTGGAAATGGAAGATTCAGGAAGGTTTAGCCTTGAGAAAGGGGGACTGAAAAGTGAGAATACTCTTCATATACCTGAATGGATGTCACAGAGACAAAGCTCACCGTCTATTTTTTACCTTTACAAAGGACATGGAATTAGCACAAGGCAGACGCCAGATGACTGTTAGAAACAAGCATCTTCCTACCACTAAGAGCAGTGAAGAGGAATGGATGTGTTGCTGGGTGGGTTCAAGGAGGGGCTGGATAGACATCTGTTAAGGATGCTTTAATTTCCAAATGAAATGGAGGTTGGACTGCATGGCCCCCCAGTTCTAGAATGCTATGGTTTTACCCACTAGGACTGCCTGTGAAAGTGGAATTGCAAAGATCTCCTTTCTTGTCCTCCAGAAACTGAGACAAAAGTCTCTTTTCTGTCATTGTTTGCCGAGCCTGAACCTAGGTGAGCGGCATGGAAAAAGGAAGAGATTTGCAGATAACAAAGGCTCCTTCAGCATCACCCCCATGGCTACCATTAATGGCTTTGGGCAAAAGTCTCTGCTTCTCTCCAGGCCGCTTTTACATTGCTCGTACAAAGCTGAGGAGCTAAATAGCAAAGACTTTGGTAAGTGGGCATTATTGTAAAGTGGAAGTTAGCGTCCGATTTTTCAATCACCAGGGGCAAGCAGTCAAGCTTTTCTTGGACTGTAGCATTTCGGTGTGTGGAAAGACGTAGGCTGCAGGGCTGAAATCTGCCCCCGAGGAAGATAAAAATCTTGGCTATTGGAAGCTAGCTCAGCAAGGAGAATATCTGTCACTGGCATGCAAAGGAGTTTGGTGGGGATTCTAATTTGCAGACCTGAATAGTTCCAAAAAGGTGTGATCCCTTGGCTCCGTGGTCCCATAAAAGGACTTTGGCAATAGGAGAAGGCCAAGCAAATCAGAGAGTCTTTCAATGGAGAAATTTTATTTAAAGCAAACCGGGTCCTCCCCAAACCAAACATCAGAGCAATTCCAAGCAAGACTGATTTATTTAAAAACCACTCCGTGTGTTCCAAGTTCAAACAGAACTGCTCAAAAGTTGACTCCGGCTCAAAGCTTGGATTGTGGGAATGGCAATTCTTGGGAGTGTTTTGGGGTACTCTGTTAGACTGAAAGCTGAGAAATGTGCCTTACCATTGATGGAGAAGCTTAACACTGAAAGGAGTTCAAAACAACCTACGGAATGTATAAATTGTACACATTATGTTTGGGTCGGTTGTGGTAGCCAACTCTTGATACAACAGAAGTTGGAAGTATGTTTACTATACATTAACCATGCCATCTGTCTATTGACCAGATTCTCTGCCTCTTTTTTCTCCCTTGCCTCCCTTAGCAGCATGCAACTCACCTGATCTTAATTTTGTGAAATCTATCCAGGGCTCCATGCTTTCCCATCCCTCTTAAATACTGAAGAGTAAGATTATGTAAGGGATGTCGTGTGTTTTCTTATCCTTCTCTAATTAGATATGCCTCAGCAGGTAGCATCACATGGGTGACCTTGTTTCAGCTTGGAGGTTAATGGAGTTGGGCTTGATTAGTACTTGGAAGGGTAACTACCACAAAATGCCAGGACTGGGAAGTTGGAAAAATATCCAGGAAGAAGAAAATGGCCAACCATTTCCATACAGCTGTCCAGAACTCTACATGGACATATCCCTGAAATCACAGAAGCTGAGCTAAGATCAGAGGAGACTTTATCTCCCACCCTCTAATCTTAGAAGAAATCAGTGGCTACTCTTTCTTAAAAGTTGTCGCTACATGGACATGTCCCTGAAGTCTCCAGGAGCTGAGCTGAGTTCAGAGGAGACTCCTCTAATTCTCTAGTTCTGCTCTCTGTTCCACAGCTCCACCGCCCTTTTCCTCTTTCTTATTACGTTTGCTTCTAGGTTTTCTGGAGCCTACTCTGCCCTACATCCTAGCTGGTATCCTTTCCCAAGTCTCAGCCTGCCTCTAAGTGAGTTTTGACTCCCACCCAAATGGACCACATTCCCTTCCTACCCAAGATCTGGCAACACCAACCAGTTGAGCTGTCGCAGCAGCTCAACTTAGAGACCTTGCCGTCACGAGGACAATCACATTCCAGGATGTACACAAATGATCCAGCTTATTTTGGAGTAGCTAG